CAGCCACCCCCAGGATTGGGTAAGATTGTTATCACCCCACGCAAGCTGGCAGAGCCAGGTCCTTAATCCTTTCTGAAAGCCCAGGAGGGTAGGGGCCTGCCACACCTCTGCGGGGAGAATGTTCCATAGGGCGGGGGCAACGGCAGAGAAGGCTCTCCTCCTGGGCCCCACCAGCCAACATTCTCTGGCTGATAGGATCCACAACATGCCTTCTCTGCCTGGCCAGGTGGGACGGGTTGGTGTGACAGGGGTGAGACGGTCCCTCAGGTAACCTGGACCAGGTTATATATATATATCACTAATGAGCAGCAGACTGATTGGATTTTGTGGGGTCTGAATGTTAATAGGTGAAAAGGAATGCTTACTGTCTATTTACTTTGAGGAAATTATGAAGATTGAACATGATCGTTCCATCAGGTAACAGCCCTTCTACAGGATTCCAACGGTCTCCAGGAAAGGTGACACCAGGTAAATGTTTAGCCAGCTTTGGCAAATACCAATGGTAAGTCATCATCTAGCACACAAAAGAAATTTTATTTATTTACAATATTTACATACCACTCTGGCTACCGTTCCTCACCCAGCACACAAGCACATGCACGCTCTCTCTCTCTCTCTCTCAATCTCTCTCTCTCTATATATACACACACACACACACACACACGTAAATGAATTCTTTAAGCTAGAACATCTGTGAGCAAGAAAGAATAGCATCTCATAATTACTATGAACCAATGTTTCTCTTTGGCTTTTGCCAGCCTCCTTTGGAGAAGAGGTGAATGGCACTGAAGCCAGGGTGATCCTGGGTCTGAGAGCATGAGAACAACCGGTGAGTAGCATGAATGATCTTTCATGATTTTTAGAGGAGAGGGTTGTGAACTTTAATTGTTTTGCACTATTTTCAAGTCATCTTCCATGTATTCTACTTTTTGGGAATTGTTTTTCTTACATTTGACCCATCAGTGTGTTTTCAGTTGTGGCTGCACTGAAAGGGCTTCAGTCCTTCCATGAGAAAACACCTTCCTGCTGCTCATCGTACCTGCTCAGATTTAGGTTTCCACTTGAGCCTGAAAAATGTTGTGGTTGCTTTAATGCAGTGTTTCTCAACCTTGGCAACTTTAAGATGTGTGGACTTCAACTCCCAGGATTTCTCCACCCGGAAGGGCTGGTGGGGGAATCTTGGGGGTTAAAGGCACACCTATTTAAGTCGCCCAAGGTGTGA